GGGACTTCGGCGATTCCGGTATTGATTTTTCCGGATTATAATCAAAGTTTAAATCTCTAAGATGGCATGCAGAAATTCTAAAATTAAAAATATGAAACCGTAATTTATGAAATAAAGAACAATTATGATCAAAGGGTATCAAAATTTACACAAAAAAAAAAAAAAAGCTTAATATTTATTTGTTTTTATTTATTAAACATTTCTTTCAATGTAAATTGTTTAAGTTGCTTTCATTTTTTGATAATACTTTCTCTTTAATTCTATAAACAGACATAATTTCTTGTTCAGTTACAAAGTTCCGCTGTTCAAGTCCCGTTAATTGCTGTGACGAGAATACCGACTAACTTGTCAATCGAAATTTTTTTGTTTTCACTAACCTCTCTGTCACATTCTTCATATCTTTATCCATTTTTTGCAGCAATTCCACTTTTTGTTTGTTGGACATCGAAACATACTTTCGTTTTGTAGATCCTTTGAAAGTTCCAGCATCGGAAATTCTATTTGACATAATCGAAAGTTCAAGTTTACTTTTATAAAATTGCTCTTACGTTGCAAAAAATAATAAAGCGGGATCCAATTGAAGATTAGGAACAACGCAATCATTAACATTAAGTGAAATAAGAAATAGTAATTTTAGCTTACACCGTCCGTTATACATTAAACACGCAGGCTAAAACGTATTCTGCACTTGCGCACACGCATATGCGCAGTAGTCAAGGCCTTACGCGCACGCGTAAAACGCCTGTGCGCATGTGCCAACGCAGCGCATGCGCAGAAAGTTTTTAGCTTTGAGGTCCGGATTATAGATCATTCCGGATTATGGGTGTCCGAATTAACGACTTTTGACTGTATAAGCACTTCTTATAAAAGAAGCTTTATTCTCCTAGGATGCTCTTCAAATTTCACTTTTCAGGGCTATTCTTAAAAGCTGAAAATATCACTACTGAAAATCTTATAGTGCAGCCTTTCAATATTATTTTACAGTACTACACAAAAGCTGAATTTGAAATGCCACATCTACAGCATACTGTCTTATGCTATACTAATAGCGAGATAACATGTTATCAATTTGTATAAAAATATTTATTGCAAATTTTTTTATACAAATTGATAATAAATACTCCAATTATGTTTATTCTCCAAATTAGTCTTACACAAATTAACTAGCTAAGTAATACTTTACAACTTATGTAATATCTATTCCAATAAATTATTAGAAGGAAGGTCTTGCATGGGAAAATACAATCACTTAACAATCTTGTTAAAGTGAAAATTTAGTTAATTTATTACAATGCTAAGCAATATAAGTTATTTTCCATGCAGAAGATAATATAATGTAACTGTGCGTAAGATGTAAACATTTCAATTTATATCAGTAAGCAATTTTACATTTAATGCTTAATTTTCTTGGCATGTTGTTTTATTTTATGTAATTAATACAGCTAATTTCATTATATATAAATAGATATCTTTAATTAATATGCTAATATGTTTAAAATCATGTTTCATTGAAATGGTGAAATAAAACTGAGGTATAAAGAGTCAATAAATCTGATAACTGATTATTTTCACTTTTTTATAATGGACTTTTTCTTTTTTTCAGAAGCAAACACATATTTTGCAATGTAAACAAGTATTTGCATTATGACTTCACTACTAAAAATAAAAGCACATCAAAGGTTATTAAAATAAATCTCAATGAATTGCAAGAAGTATTTACCAGTCACATTTTCTTAGTAACAAAAGAGACATACTCATTGCCATTGGCATTTACTTCTCCCACCTCTCATTATTATACTTTATTGTTCTGCTAACAGTCTCCTACGATGGTTCTTTTCCAAATATTTTGTAGCATTTTCTCCAACAATATGTTAATTTAGATTTCTCATCCAGTAGCATATAGATAATTAACTAACAGCTGTCATTTTTTATAGACATATTAAAATATCAACTCAAAGGAATCACAGTATCATCACAAAAGCTATACTGCTATCCTCAAATCAATTTTTAACATAAAAATCAGATTTCTGGTGACAGTCCCTGATACATCACTACCATGTATTTTCCTTAACTTCATCATGTGGCTCTTTTGGAAAGTTTTTGCCTCAAAAAGGATACTAAAGTCCTAAAAATCAGATACAGTTTGTCAACTGCAAATTTTTAAAATTATTTTTACTTCTAGTAATCATTATTAAATCCTTAACTTTGAAATAACAGGAAAAGTAATGTGTGAAAATGATGAGCTCAACAATCATAAATAAAAACAAGCTAAGCTATCAGAGATAATATGGACAAGAGAAGAAAATGCAAATGATGATGTAGATGTTTCTTTTATCGGGGGGGGGGACACTCAGAAATTTCAAGGAGAGATCAAAAATAACAGATCCTGCCATTGTTATTTTTCAATTAGAGATGTAATCTGTTTTTTTTAATGTGCTATAAAGAATAAATTTAAAATGCAGATTTTGAAATTTGTATAGTACATACAATAAAAAAGAGTCGAAAATTATATGTAAAAAAAGAGCTCTTCCTTTTATTTATAAAAGTAAAACTGGTCAATCATTATCTGAAATTGCTATCTTAATTAGTTTGGATATACAGAATTCTAATGTTACTTTTACAGAACTTTTCTGTAATACATAACTTTTCTGCATATAATGAAAATGTATAAATCCTAAAAAATTAAAATATTTTTTTACATACGTCAGTATCAGATCCCCAGTGTTCTAAGCCATAATTAGTGTAACTTTTCAATATATCAAATCTTTCAGATGATGATATATCCCAATGCATTTGCTCTTTTATTTCCTTGAAAATCCAGGGTTTAATAAGAGCTCCTCTAAAATGAATAAAATGATTATTATTGTTATTATTATAAATATTATACATTTATATAATGATGATTATTAATGATGCACATTATACAGGGTTGCCACTCAAACAGGAGAATGAAATTCCCTGACTTTTACAGGTTATCCAGGTGTGTTTTAAGAAAATTCCAATCTATCCGCATAGTGTACATTGGGTGTGTTGAGAGGTAAATTAATTATGGTACCATTTGAAAACACAGAAGTTTGGCAATTACACATGACTTATCCCCAAAGCATTACTATTATAACTATATTAGGAGTTGTTTTCTCCACTGAAGATTGAGATTATAATCTGCCCAATCTGGATTTAAAAATGTCTTTTTTTTTGCAGCTACATTAAAAAAAGAAATCTATTTAATGGTATTTTAAAAATAAATAACTGCATTAAATTTCATGATGGTATGTCATCATACTGCTAGAATTGTTGCCAGAGGAAATTGCCTGAAATCTAAAAATATATTATCAACTAATAATAAGTAAATTTAGAACTATGAAGCCACATAAAATTATATGAATAATATTAAAATAAAGTTAATTACTTAAAGATTAAAAACTGAATTACAATAATCAATAATATTTTGGTGAATATAATTATATTAGTTAGCCTAGATGACTGAATGACTGATTGCTATTTTTTTTTATTTTGCTGAAAAATGACAAATAAAGCATTTATATATATATATGTAAGATATATAAGATGTAAGATATAAAAAAAAATAGATCGCGATTTTTCTAGAACATAACCTCCTCATATAAATGCTGCGTCATAAGTTTTTCTACATTTTTCTAGAAGCTACTCTGTTACATAACCTCCTCATATAAATGCTGCGTAATAAGTTTTCCTACAGATGCCTTCTCGTCTTTGTCTTGCTAACATCTCCGCTATGCTCCTTTTTCTTTTGTTAGAACATTATGACGTATTAAAATTTAAAGTCAGTCGTATCTAATAGTGTAAGTACTGAATAAGTAATTTTATTAACTTCATCTGGACAAAGTCATCTGCTCTAAATTAAAATAAAGATATGCTGTTAAAAGTGAAAAGTCCTGAGTCGTCATTTTTCTCCGTGCTTCAATCATCTGAGCTTCGTCAATCATCTGCCAAAAACGTGGGATGAATAGCCTCACCATTCACCCACGATGTGTTGGAATAACTGAAATATTACATATATATATATATAAAGATTTTGTGGTAAAATCCTAGTTTATGGGATGGCCTTGGCATGATTTTCAAAATTGTTGCCAACACCAAAATGACCCATTTTGCTCATCAGAATGTTGCCAAATCTCGTGTGTACTGTATACTAGGATTAAACCAATTTTGTTTTATACAAGAATGGGAAAGTATTTTCTTTCGTTCAACAGGCACTGTACATGCTTTACTTTTTTAAAAGAATGACACTCATATGATACATTATTCACCAAGAAACTGATAATTTCCAACATTGGCACGAAAATCTCTTGGGGGACTGCTGTATGAAATTCCCTGACTTTTCCAGATTTTGACTAAAATATTAAAATTCTCTGTCTTTTTTGAATTCCCAGCCCTTTCCTGATTTTCCAGGTAGCATGGCAACCCTGTGATGTTTATTTATATAATGATTAAGATTAATGATAAACATTTATGTAGTGGAAATAACTTTTCTTTTAATTATTAACAAAAGTCTATTATAATTTGTTTTGGCATTTTATAGTCATAACAATACATGTCATTATTATATACATTATTACATACATATTATATAAATTATTATATATATATCATAAAAATATTTGAAAAGAAGAGGAATGTTTAAAAGCTATTGCTAAAATGTACATTTGACACTATAGTTCCTGAGTAAAATAGTGACATCATGTAAAAGCAATTGATGATTGTTAATCACCACGATATAGTAGCTTCTAGCATATGTGATTGCCAACTTTTTTATTACAATAAATTTGTGGATCCTTATCACATAGTCACAGGTGATCTTAGCATCATTCAAGATTGTCAACTATGGCAACTCATGCAACTGGGTACCAAATTTCGTTCCATTTTCTATCTAAATAAAAACTTTTGCTTAAAGCAGTTTAGCAATGATTTGAATAAATTTATTATTTTAGCTAGCAATCGTACTAGCTTACTGACAACTACCTTTCTAGAATGGAAAGTTGCTGTTTTTAAAGATTTTGAACAAATGCTCTATAGTCTACCTAGTTTTAATCAATTGCACGATATGAGACATCTAGAAACTCAAATTAAGAAGTTGCAAGAGCATTTCATCATTTTCAAAATAGACAAGGTGAATAATAATTCCAGTATCACTTGAAGAAAATTTTATTTTGAACTTATTCAAAAGGAGTTGCTCAGCACTAGCACTTACTAACAAGTTTCTACAAACACGAAAATTCTCTTTAAAAAATTTACTGCCTTGCATAAAAGAGTAGTCCCAACAAACTGAATAATAAGTTTAGTAATCTCTATGCACTTCCTAGATTTCATAAAACTCCAATCAAATTCAGATACATTGCTAATAGTACTAAAAGTTTTCTAAAAGAAATTAATTATCTCTTTATCTCTTTGCCCAGAAACTTAAATTATACTGGATATTGTTAATAATTTCAATTTTCAAGATCTACACTGCAATTGGATGATTAGTAACAACGAAAAAATTCTCGAGACTTTAAAGTTGCTTAAAATAGAACACATTAAATGTTACAACTTCAAAAATCTTTATACCCTCTTTAGAAGAAATAGTACCTTTTAGAAGAAATTCATAGTAGCCTACTTACTCTTCCCGATTTCTTTCCGCAGATTCTTACAATAATTACTCTAGAAGAATGGAAACTTTTCCTCAATAGTGTACTTTTTAACAATTATTTGCAATTTGATAACACTATCTTTAAGAAAGTACATGGAATTCCTATGGGCAGGAACTGCTCGACTGCAATCTTTGGGCTATTCCTTTTCATTCAAGAATTTAAATTTGTACGTTCACTTAATTATGAAGAACAAAAGTATTACCAACACATCTTTTGATATATTGATGATGTTATGGCCTTTAACAACTTTAACAAACTAGAAAATGCAAATATTTACCCTACTTCCTCAAACTTAATGCCACTAATGCAATTCAAAATGATATAGTTTACCTAGATCTTCAAATTCTAAATTACAATCTTATTAAAATATTTGACAAAGGCAGAGACTTCAATTTTCATATACTAAAACTTGCTAACTGGAAAGTGTAACATTTCTAAAAAGGTCATTATCAATACAATTAATGCACAACTTCTTAGAATTAAAAGAATCTGTAATAACACAGACCTCCTACAAGAAGAAGTACTCTACTTCATTATAATCTTGCAAAACAATCTTATTCCAAAAGCAATCATTAAAAATTCCTTAAAAAAAGCTGACATTTACCTTTTATTTTAGATTATTTGAATTGGATAATGAAATTTTTTATTTAAATCCCAAGGGAAGGTAGATGATGGATGGCTAATTCACATGATCTAATGTAAAAATGTAACATAGTTTTTCTAATACTGCCTCAATTTTTCTCTCTTAAATTGGTACAGACATTCAGTTAAATAATTAAATTTATTATTTAATATCACTGTTTTCTGGTCATACGTATTCTTTTATTAATTTTAAGGGCCATTTTCATTTCAAACTCGCTTGTTTGACCAACTAGCGCGAAGAATTACGACTTTTTACTAACAAATTGCTAACTTTTCCAAATTCAACTGCTTTCAGTCAGATAAGCACTTACGTAGATGTTAGCCATTTTGTTTTTGCCTTCACATTTTTTCACAACTCAATTTTGGACAAGACGCCATTTTTTTAGAATAGCATCCGTCCTTCACCTTTGAAATCCCCCATTTAAGGAGACAAGGTTTTCCACTTTGGCCGTTATGTACCATTGGCTATTGCTTCTTCACGTTTGTTTCCCCCTTCTACGAAGCTTAATCTTATTGGAGAATTTTTACTAATTTTCTTTTCTGGTAGTACTCCTTTGGAATTCCTCTATTTACAGCAAACCTTTGAAGCAATTTTTACTCACTCAACATTGGTCAGGCCACCGCTATGGACACAGGTATGTTTTGTCTTATTCTTATATTTTTTCTCTTTGACTTTGGTCTTTGCAAGACCCATTTAGATACATTATTATTATGTTTCTTCTAATTCTTCTGCTTAAAAAAGTTTATATTCTTCATGCTAGTAGGTATCTCTCTTGAAATTGTGTAATTGACTAATAGCTTTTTAGCTATTTATGTTAATTGTACATTTGCCTAACCAGGCATTCTTGTATAGTTTTTTTTTTCTTTTGCTTAATAGTAAGTTTTACATTTACAATTTAAATTGCAAGAATGTCAGGAAAAGAAACAATACAACTGAGACTTACTTTATTAAGATAATGAAGTTTGATTTTTCTATTAATGAAATTACGTTTTCAGTCTCAATTGTTATCACTTGGCGAAAAGCGCTAACGGTATTAGCTAAATTTGAATTTTGACCCACTTTTTCCTTGATAAGTCCAGCTTAAACCTCGGGTTGGGCTAATTTACCATTTGTTGCAATTTTTTGTAGGTATTTGAAATGTTTTTAATTATTTGTGAGCATCATTTTAAAATTATTAAAATTTATTAGTTTTTTTTTTTTTTTTTATCCCTTTTGATCTTTAAGTTATCTCGTTTTGTAATTTTTACATTAAGTTTTTATGTGATATCTTAGACTTCTTTAGTATATTTTGTTGTTTTTACATGATGTAACTATTTTACTCAGGAACTACAGTATCAAATGTACTTTTTAGCAATAGCCTGTAAACATTCCTCTTCTTCACAAATATTTTAAAAATTTTGCAGCTCAATGCCCAAAATTCTTGACCACTAAGGTCTCTCTTGTTCACGTTATCTTTCTACTTTCGTATATATATCATAAATATATAAATATACAAGGTTTTTAGGTTTTACCTAGCAATCATGATACCTGACACACCACTTTCTGCCTTTCTTGCATTATAATCTTCATAAGATAATATATCTCCATTCCCTGTTAAGTGGCATAAAGAAATATAACATTAGAGAAAACCAAAAGATTGAAATTTAGCACAATTATTTTATATAAATATAAAAACAGAGGATATTAAGGGGGTCGTATATCGAGATCACTGCTTTAAACTTTCCACACAATAGGTAATAAAAGCATGACATTTTAAACTACATTTAAAAACTTCAGGAAAAGACAAAGATTTTTAAATTTATTGAAACCTTACAAAACAAAACAAAAAAATTGGTAAATAATGAAAAATGCTTAATTAGAATCAGAACAATGAAAGTGAAAAATTTAATAATTTATTATAATTAAGTGTTGTTATGATATGAAATTTGAGAAATATATTTTATACATCATTATTCGTGCACACATTTGACATGAAACACGCTGAATCAGAATACAAATATCACATTAAAGGCAATATTAGAACACATTTACATATTCTAAAAGCTCATCAAAAGGTGAACTCTACATATCATCTTTCCTTGTGTGAATTTTGAGCAGTACACATTGTAACATGAATGTGGAGTTTGCAAATGTGCATTTTACCCATGGGACTGTGGATAGCAATGAAGCAGCTGTTCAAATAAAGTTCTCGGGAATTATTATCTGTATCTGCTTTGAGTAGCTGCTCCATTTGTTTGCAATCCTATTGATAAAACACATACTGGTGAATTCCATATTTGCATCGAATGCATTCACTAAAATCTGCATTTTAAACGATAATTTAAGCCAGGAGAATGTTTTTATCAACCAATCAACAGCAATTTTTTCCACCTAAACAAATCATTTCCACATATATTCCATTACAAAATGTACTTATTTTGAACCTGCCTTTACGTTCTTACCAGAAATTTTTTAATCTTCTATCTCTCTATATATGCATAAAATATAAAATCTAGCTTTCAAATAATAAATTTATAGCTCTTTAACTCCTGTCTTCATTCTAAAAATAACAGAGCAATAAATTTTCTAACTAAACAAAAAAGATTCATCATCTAATATGTATTGCATACTTATTGATGAAGTCTAAACCTAACACCTGTTTATTAAACTGTCATGTGATCTGAAATGGAATTTGTATTAAAAGCTTAGTTACATTGCAACTCCCTCTTCTCTTTGTTCGTTTCTTCTGCTGCTTTCCACTATGTCGCTAGCCACACAAAGTTTACTTTTCTAAATTTGTCCATTGTTTAAAATGTGAGCGGCACAAAATTGGTAGATGCATAGCACACCTAGAGTGCTAATGTACATTATCGAAAAATAAAATTATGTGAGTTTTTTGAGTGTCATCTTGCTAATTATTGAGCAAAGTCTTCAAGTTATGATTCGGTCCTCTTCAACGTCAATATGTTGCAACTTTCCTGTACCAAGTCACCTTATACAATAATACAGTCTTATTTCAATAGAAACACAGTTTTATTACATACATATCTCTACATATAATAAAAGAAACAGTCTGTCTGTGTGTGTGTGTCTTTCATTCGCACTGCGCGTAAGATAATAGACCCACGGCTACGAAATTTGGTACATACGTGCATCTAGACAAGAGACAGCACCTCGAAGCGATTTTTTCGAAATTCGAATTCAAGTTTTTTTTTTATTTTATGTTTTGTGACGAAATTGCGTCATTTTGAGACATACTAGGCTATAGGAAAGTGAGATTTTACTCTACACACTCCATTTTCACATCGTCATGAAACATATGCACTTAGCTATTTTACGAACTCAAAATAAATTTCGTATTTCAATAAATTGATTAAATACGAATTTATTTAACAAAGTGAGCTTAACATTTTTTCAACAGAATTTTTTCTAAAAAAGTTTATTTTTAAAAATGTACAGTTTATTTTTCTTTGGTTTTTGGGCACGTAAAACTTTCATCCTTGCGATTGCTTTTACAAAAAGAACTTTGGAAAAATGATAATATTTTGTAATTTAAAAAAAATTTTCAAATGAAACTTCCGAGTATACTTCTCATCTTAAAAAATGTGATTTTGGCAACAATTTTCCCATCTTGATAGATTTTTAATGAAATCGCATCATTTTGAATAGTTTCATTCTTTTAGAAATATGGGTTTGGCAACAATTTTTTTATCGTACTTCTTATGTCACTGTTTTTAAGAGATTGGCATATTTCATCGTCATTTTTATACATATAATAATACATTTTTATTGATTTTTTTGATAAAGTTGTTCTGCAGAGTAAAATTCTGCACAGAATTTTATGTTTTTTGAGTTGATTTCATGTTATTTTTTGCTTATTTCACTGTTTGTAAGATATTAAAAAGTTTTGCATGATTTTTTTTTCCTTCAATGGAAAGTTGGTTAATTTTTTTATTAGGATAATTAATATTTGTATTAAGGGATATAGCTTATTTCATTGTAATTTTTTTTCTCTTGAAAATATAAGATAAAATATCATTAATTATACTTTGCTTTTCAGAATTTTTTGTTTTTTGTATTCTTTTATGTTACTTATAGCTCATTTCACTGTTCTTAAGATGTTGAAAAGTTTTGAGTGATTTTTTTAGTAAACAAAATTCTTAACCTCCTTTTAAACCATTTGAGTTCTTAAGATTTTGCATAGGGAAGTTGGTTAATTTATTTATTAGGATAATTAATATTTGTATTAAGGGATATTGCTTATTTCATTGTAATTTTGTTATATGTAATAACTTTTTTTATGAAGTTGTTCTGCAGAGTAAAATTCTACGCAGTTTTAAAATTTAACGTTTGGTGTTCCCCTCAGCCATTTTTCCGGTACATTTAAAAGCCAGACGAAGGCTAGCAGCGAAGCTGCTAGTAATATATATATGCAATAATTTGAAGCACAGTTGTGATGGCTGGATGGTAGGAGAGAGGAAGAAGTTCATACCAAACTAAGTTCAGCCAATTATCATCTTTATTTCCAGATTTCCAGGCACAGTAGAATAATTTCTTGTAGACAACATACTTTTTAATCTTACAATTATAATAATTTCTTATGCACATTGGTTTTGTACAAAGAATGATGCAGGCATTTTAAAGAAGCGAAGTGAGAAGATATTAGCAATGTAGAAGCTAGCACAATAATGACGTAATTAGCTCGCCAGAGGTATTGTTTATACTAAGTATAATGTAATTGTAGAGGCAATCTATGATTGGTTAATATTAGTTTCAGTTGTCCTTTTCCAGTAGCATTACATAACGTAGAAAGATCTTGAATATGGGAGAACAGATGAATTTAGGGGGAGATCACCAAATCTAGAATGTTAATTTTGAGGTCACTAATTATTTTGAAAGCAGCTATCATATTTTGCTGTATCTTACATATATATATGTGTGATTATTATTAGAGACACCAAAAGGAAAATATTTAATTAATATCACACAAAATGCAGCAAATTTAATTTGAATGAAATAGAAATTTTTTGAATTTTCATCAACTAGCGATGGAAGGTTAATTAATATGAAGAAAGCAAAAGATCATCAAAAAAGAACTTAAAAGCAAATTAAATTGTAGAACAAAAAATCAAATGAGTTGATAATTCATTTTTGTCTTATTCAAGGAACAGGGAAGAAAATTATCAATGGAGCCAAGTTCCTGAATTATACCTGAATGAATTACAAAACAGAAACAGTAAATGATTTTTTTTCTTTGAGCTAAAATGAAAAAAATTAGTAGTGGTAATTTAATTGAATGCATTAATCATAGGAAAAGAACTCATTTAATGAAAATAGAAAATTAACAAAAAAATGAGTTATTTTGAAGTTCAAAGGAGCAAAAACTCCAGAAATGACCATTGTGAATAACTGCCATGACATGTTATTTTGCATGTAACCAATTTAGAAACTTTATGTAATATGCTTGCTTCATGCTTATTTCAAGGTTTGGTGCTCAAATCTAAATTGCTTACTATTTCTGTTTTGCAATTCATCCAGATATAATTCAGAAATGAGTCTCTGTTAATAATTTTCTTGGCTGCTTCTTATGCTTAAAGAATTAGTTACACATTTGAATTTTTGCTTGTGATTTAATTTAGCATTGTTTTTAGGATTAATGTCCCTTTTTGATGATTATTTGCTTTTATGATATTAGATAATCTTGCATGATGAAAATTAATAATAATTACTATTCTATATTGATTATTATATAGTATAATTATGTACAATGAAATTTCACAAATGTAATATGAAATGTAATTAAATAGTACACTTAAATGTGGCACTATAAATTCATACAATTACCATGCTCTACATGCAAATCACTTTCAGCTTTCATCTTAGATGAAAACATTTATAACAACTTGTGAAACAATTTTTGAAATTATTTGTATACATTTTATGCAAAAGTGATGAAATCTACATAATATTTGTTACTTTTAAAACTGCTAACAGTGTTGCAATGGAATGCAGAAAAATTTTTTATGTCAACATGAAAAAAATTTGCAAGATACTTGTCATATACATAGGATTAGAACATCATATCAAGACTAAAGGTTGAAGAATTATAGAAATCATATCTTAACATAGATTTACAGTTTGGTGAAGAATAAATCAAACTTGAATTTTTCACAGAAAAAATAAAGACACAGAAATTTCAAAAGAGAACAAGAAGGGACACAGAACAGTTTTTATCCAGCTTTAAGAAGAAAGATAAATAATTACCAAATAAAGGAATAGGTTTAGCAATAGTATTGCAGTAGTTGATATAATCCCAGTCAGCTGATTTAGTATACCTTTGCTCTCGAGAACGCCCATGAAGCTGATGGAGAGAATAAATAGATTTCCATCAAAAGTTAAGGAAAAAATAAAGTAAAATCAACTACTTAACCTTCCAGAACGCGTGCTATGCACAAAGTTTACGACAAATTCGGTTTTTAATGTACAATTTTCACATATCGCAGCTGAGACGTCTGAATGTCATTTCTATTCCTCCTTTAAACCCTTCCCCACATCATGGAATGTGCCAACAGGAAGTCATATGACTTTTTTTTTTTTTTTTTTTTTTTTTTTTTTTACTGGGCTTTTGCGCTATGTGGCAGCTTCATTGTAAAAGTTACAACACGTGTGTGGTCACGGGTGAAAATTCGGAATTTGTTTTTTTTTTTTTTTTTTTGTCAAATATTTTGTAATTTTGTGTTATTAATTTACATGTATTATTTTAATTTGTATAAATTCAACTCTATAATTTTTATGTTGGAAAAGAAGACAAAGAAACCTTTGGCTGTGAGAATAACAGGAATCTGAGTGAGGAAAATATAGAGATAAATAATATCAGCACTGAGTCTGAATAATAAATTTCAGATGATAGTAATAATGATATAGAAAAAAGGAATGATGATGATATATTCCATGTTAGTAAGGATAAATCTTCAAAGTGGCAAAAACAGAAGTATGCAAACTGCTCAAAGACGAATAAGATGAATATCGTGAGTGTTAACTGGCCTAAAACACCATGCCAAGGATATAAAGGATGAAATTTTTTGAGAACATTTTTGAAAATAGTTGATATAAATATCCTTGATGAAATTTTGGAATGTACAAAGAAATATATAAGTTTACTAAAAGGCAAAATATTCAAGAGATAAAGACTGCACTGTTACCTGAGTGGTAATAATGGCCTACTTTGTTTTGTTACATATGATAGGAATAAAAAAAAGGACACCATGTAAATGCAAAAGACTTGTTCTAAAGTGATAGCATTGGAATTGAAATAACAAGAGCTGTGATGAGCTGCAAGAGATTTTTATTTCTGACAAGTTGTCTTTCGATGATAAGAAAGGATGAGTCGTTGATTCGATGATAAATCAACAGGACAGATGAATATTAAAACTAACTTAGATTTTAAAATATAGTTATTAAATAATAAATTTTAAAATTTCTATAATAAAACACATCATTGATTTTTCACTTATATAAGCATTTAAAAATAATTTACTATCATTTGAATGTGGCATTATTTCTATTTTGCAATAATAAGGTTAATATTTATGTTTTAACAAATTTATTATCAATATTCACTCATTTCTGTCATTTTTCGAGCCAAAAGAAAATACGATGTGCACGTGCTCATGTAAAATTCCTAGGCGCGCGTGCTGGAAGGTTAAAGTTGGTGAACTTATGATAAGCACTGAAGTTCCCATTACTAACATGTCACATAAATGTGAAAACATATATTATTTTCACATTACATTAAAAATTCTGAAACACTTTAGTAACTAAAGTACATATTAAATTTAAAATGAAACAGATGAATAAAATTTGAATTAATAAACACAGAGAAAATACTGAAAATATAAAACATTTATATTATTTTATTATGGAGCCAAAATTAAATATGGGTATTTTGCTTATCTTAGATTTGTTTAAATATTGTTTCAAATTTTTTGTCATTCTATTTATCATTTTCATCTTTTTGCTCTAAATGAGTACATGTCACTAAACTAAATACTTTAATATCTTGTTATTTAATAAATAAATATAATTACTGTTGAAGTGGTAATGCCATATTTTTATTAAACCATTACTCAGCAACGTGAGATATTGTTTTAAAAGATTAGAATTCTGAAGATTTTACCAGCTAGGAGTAGTATAAAAATTTTGCCACTTAAGAATTGTATAAAATTTGTCTATCACCATGAACTAGAAATAAAATTTATGTTCTACTAAGAAGATTGTCTGTTTTGTAAATTACTGCAAAATACATTACAGTCTTAATTAGTTGCAGGTTCCACTGAGATACTGGAAATTAGGAGTGCAATTATCAATTTCGATGGTGCTGGTCTCCTAATCCCAGAAATTTACTGAATTTTTTTAGAACAAGTTTGCTAATACCAATTGCCAAGTTTGTTTATTTCAAGGAGAAATGGATGTAAGATGTCTGTCATTTTAAAGACAGATTTGAAGCGGATCATTCAAAGGTTATCTTCTGTGCTTCTCTAACTTGCATTCGAGCAAAAACTGTCAAAAATAGGATATTGCTGATCTCTGAGGATAAAGATTAACTTTTGGTTTTCTTAAAAAAGATTTTAATGAATTTTAATACTTTGTTTTAGAATTATAGCTTATCGTGAAAGATTTTGTTTAAAATAACTGACACTAAAAATATTCAGCTTAAATTTATAATTGATATTTGTGGTAAAGAAGTATTTTAAAATTATTATTTATGCTTTACTTTTATTTGTATTGAAGTTTTATGTTGATAATTGATATGTGTAAGCCATCCCGGCGTTTATAAAAAAAAAGAATTGCTAGCTGAGTTTTGAATTTGTTGCCAAGCAGGCGCGTGAAAAATAAGTAATAACGTCAAACTGACGTAGTGTGATTTGATTATACTGCTGAATTGGCAAAGATTTTTTCTTAGTTCTCGCCATCCAGGCATGTGATAGATAGTAACATCATCTCGACATATTACAGATTGTATATTTAAAAGTTGTATTGCCAAACTGGCAAAAATTGTTTTTGTTATCACCAACCAGGAGTGGAGATAGATAGTAAAGTCGTCAAACTGACGTGGGTAAAATTCCATTGTATTGCCTAGCTGGCAAAGGTGTTTATATAATAGTTATAGCTAATGAGGCTTGTGAATAGTGAGTTAAAACATCAACCCGACGTAGTATTATAGTATTTTGTGCCAACCTGGCAAAGTTGTTTAAATAATTCTCTCCAATTGGTTAGTGTGAATTTTGTATTTGAGAAATTAAGTCTCGCCAGAAATTATACATTTTTAATACAAGTACAATCTTTTAGATTCAATTTCAAAAGGAAGCCTAATGAGGTAATTTATGTCAACATGTCATTCTTAGCTAAGAGTAAAAAACAGGATTTAAAAGTACTAGCAGAAGAGTTAGGTTTAACCGTGAAACCTGAATTTAAGATTGCTCAGTTGCATAAACTGATTACTGAAAGTCCCGGATTATGATGAGGAGTTTACTAGAGAACTACTGGCTGCAATTAGAGAAGAAAATAAGAATAGAGAAGAAATGGAAAGAAGAAGAAGAACGCGAAAGAAGAAAGAGAAAGAAAGAAAATAAAGAGAAAGAAGAGAAGAACGCGAGAGAGAAGAAAGATAAAGAAGAGAAGAACGCGAAAGAGAAGAAAGATAAAGAAGAGAAGAACGCGAAAGGGAAGAAAGAGAAAAGGAACGCAAAAAAGAAAAAAGCGAAAGAAGATAAGAACGCGAAAGAGAAAAGGAATGCGAAAGAGCCTTTGAGGTACAGAAACTTCAGTTGGAAGCAATGGCTGCAACAGAACAGTCGGTTGAAACTACGCAGTTACCTGAGGAGCCTTTAAAAATCAGAATTCACGATGCCATGCCATGTTTCAACCCTAAAGTAAATGAAATAAGTTTATTTCTGGTGTTATTTGAGCGTCAAGCTAAAATGATGAATATACCTGCTGAAAATCAAGTGACTCAACTTATTTCATTGCTGCCTCCTGACATCGTTCGCTTATTGCTAGAGAACCAGAAGAGGATGCGAAAAAGTATGAATATGTAAAAACTTTACTGTTACAAACGATTTAAATTGAGTGCGAAAATTTCGATAACTATTTAATAAACAACCAAAAATCTACTGAAAGTACTTGGTATGATTTCTACTATGAATTAAAGAATTATTTAGAAGGATGGCTTAACGGATTAAACATTAAGCATTTGAACAGCTAAAAGATCTCATGCTGGTTGATCAAATAAAAAAGCGTACTTCTCCTGATATCAAAGAACATTTTATGGATCAATGGACAACCATCATTTCATTTCACCTACTGAAATGGTTAAGAAAATTGAAGATTTTGAAGATGTGAGAAAAAATAAAACTGAAATTTTCTGCCAATCAGACTGAGAAAATAACAAAGGATCATTTAACCGCATTATGATAGTTTGTGAAAAATAGAGCATCCGCCTCATTTTAAGCATTCTAATAGATGGGATGATTCAAAATACATCATCAAGATCATCAGCAAAGGAATCAGTTCCAAAACAAAAACCAAGAAAATTTATATGACAAAAGATATCGACCACGTTGTTTCGAGTGTGGATCATATGAACATTTTAAGCCTCAGTGTCCTCGCTTAAAACCAAATGAAAAGGTAAATTGCGTATTTTCGAATGATGATTTGTTAGAGACATATACAATTACAGCCAAAAGTCGTTAATTCGTACACCCATACTCCGGACCTCAAAGCTAAAATCTTTCTGCGCATGCGCCGCATGAGCATAGGCGTTTTACGCATGCGCACAAGACATTTACGACTGCGCATATGCGTCTGCGCAAGCGCAGAATACGTTTTCGCGTGCGCGTTTAATGTATAACAGACAGTATAAGCTAAAATTATCTAATTATCTATTTCAGTTAATGTTGATGATTGCGTTGTTCCTTAATCTTCGAATTGGATCCGGCTTATTATTTTTTGCAGACTGTAAAAGCAATTTCATAAAAGTAAGCTTGAACTTTCGATTATATCAAATAGAATTTCCGATGCTGGAGCTCCCAAAGGATCTAGAAAACGGAAGTATGTTTCGATGTCCATCAAACAAAAAATGAATTGCTACAAAAAATGGATAAAGACATATTCTTTGTTTATCTAACCGTTCCGAAATCTGTTTATCAATTTCACGCTGCTCTGTGTGTGTGGGGGGGGGGACGTTGCGGTGCGCAATGAATTGGAAGTTGATCTGTCAGCACTATCATCATCTTCAGGGCAGATGTTTTTATTTTATTCGGCTTATAATTCCTTATTAAATGTAGTATTTAATCTCGATGT